GGGTGGGGGGCGGGACGCAGGGCGGGCGGCCAGGTGAGCGCGCTGGGCCCGGCTGCCTCCATTGCCTCTGCAGGAGAGGCCGTTTGCCCGATTCCGTGGGGTTTGGGGCTCAATCTGTGAGGCGAGTGCACAAGGCCCAGAGCAGATGGCGGCCACCGGGGCCATGAGATCCTGTACTGGCGCTCGCACCGCTTTTGGTGCTCACTCCCGTGTTGCTGCTCGCTCCCATACTCTGGTTGGGATACGCTTGAGCTCTTGGGGAGCGAGTGGAGATTGCGAGGGGGCAGGAGAGCAGGACTATCCTCAAAACTGCCCTCCTCTTGGCACAGGTTGCTAGAGAATGGCGATTTCTGCCTAGAGAAACCAAGCCCTTGCCTCACCCCTCCCTCACACCAGCTTTTGCCAACGCTGCCAAGCGCACAGATGAATCCATATTAACCCATGGAAAGCGCGTGCCGGAGGCCTCGCTGCGTGCCCGGCAGGCTGCGGTGCGGCCTTCACTTCAAAGGGGCTGCAGCACTTGCCTGCTTTCCAATCCACATGGGCTCGTGTCCAGGCGCTTTGCTTGGAGGCTTGGGGTTTGAGCAGCAGCAAACTCAAAGCCAGGCTCCGTGCTGTGCGTTTGCTGATTCGGAGAACACTTCAAAAAGTGCCTGTCGCATCGTGAGTTTCTGTTTCGCAATGCAGCTTCTTCCAGGTAAAAATGGATGTTTCCTTGGAGAGATGGATCCACCCCATGGGCTCTGAAGAGGAAGAGGAGCGCTGCCACCGAGCCCACAAGGACTTGGCCAAGGAGGTCATTTGCCCTTGGGAGAACCCTGACGAAGGAGGGAGAGGGGGACAGCAAGCAGCCCGGGAAACAGCCATGTATGGCTCAGCACAGGAACCAGGCTTTTAAAGAAATGCATTAGAGCCATCTTTCAGCATCAAGGAAGCTCAGACAACTGCAGTTAGGAATAGGGGACCCTAATATACCCATCTGTTTGTAATTTAGGAATTTTAAGCATTTTTGGACTTATTTTCCTTCCTATCTTTGGTATATTCACATCCATTCATTGCAAACTTCCTGACAAACGAAGCGCCTTTCTTGCCTTCTACCAGATGCAGAATATACACATCCATGCATATATATACATATATATATATATATATAAGATACGCACATATATATATATTTCCTGGGAAATGGAGTCTTATCAGGCTTGCTTGCATGGTCTTGAGGTGTCAGCACTCTGTACACAACACAGCTGGAGCAGAGCTTGCAGGCATTTTTCAGAGCAGGACTCAGAATTCAAGCACTGCTATGACTGGGGCATGTTAGGTTCCCAGCTCGGGTCCACCCCTGATTGTTATTAAGAATTTTTAATTTCAAAGCAATTTCACTAAGGGACA